GGGGCAGGGACACAGGTGGGGACCAGGGCTGGTGGGTGCTTGAACCTGGCCGAGAAGGCCCCAGAGCAGAGACTTCTGGGGAGGACCCAGATGGCTCTTCGTTGGGCTCCGGGTGGCGGTCAGGGCCCCGCCCCTCCCTCTGCTTCTCCTCCAGCCCCAACCCTGGGAGGAGTAACAGGGGTCCGCGTCCGACCCCGGGGTAGGGACAGCGGGACGTGGGGGATGGGGCGCGGGCCCGGCCGCGGCCTGGCGCGGCTCCACGGCCGACAGATGGCGGCGGGCAGGGGTGCGGGGATAGGTGGAGGGGGCGTCAGATGGCACCGCCGCGGGCGGACCCCGCCGCCGCCCGGGATGCCGGCTGAGGCCCTGAGCTCTGCGCATCTGGAGGGGCCGCGTGCTCGCTGCGCGGATGGCAGAGGAGGTGACACGCCGAGCTGCCACCGCCGGTGCCCGGGGCTGTCCCAGCGCGCGCGGGCAGGCGAGGTGGGAACCGCGCAGGCAGACGCAGCTGTCACTCCTCCCCGGCGCGTGGCGTCGGGGCGCCAGTGCGCGTGCACGCTCGGAGCTGCGGGTATGGGGGTGGCCCGGCCTGGAATGAGCGCTGGTTCCCCACCTCTGTCCCCGTGGGCCTTCGCCGCCTCTGCTGCTCCGCCTGCCCGGGGCTGGCCATTCGGCCCTCAGGCCTGGGGCGACGGTGGGCGGAGTGGTTTAAGGACTTGGCGGGAAGGCGCAGGACCCCACAGGGGAAAGTAGAGAGCAGACATTCTTGCAGATAAAAGCATAAGAAATGTAGGTACAGAAACGTGACTAAAGCGGCCCTCCCTGCCCCGCGAGGACCCCCTCCCTCCCGCTCTGAGCTTCTGGGAGCCCCGATTAACTCACCCGTCACCCTGTCTCATTGTCAGAAAGTGGAAAATGCACCTGGTCTCCCGGGGCTTGTCCCCACGGAAACTCCCTATGCCAAGAACAGAGCTGCAGGGCTCCCCAGGAAAAGCTGCCTGGCCTGAGCCCAGGGCAGTCAGCGAGCACGGGGTGGGCACGGTGGGCTCCACCCAGTCCCCTGGAAGCTTCCTGAAGATCTGGCTCAGCCAGGAGGGAGTTGCTGTAGGGAGGGGCTCCTGGAGGAATCAGCAGGCAGTTTGGTGGCCAGTCCTCTGCCGGGAAGGAGAGGCACCTGCCTGGTGGACTGGACCCGCTGGCCCCACAGAGTCCCTGCCCGAGCCTCGGTGAGGGCCCAGCACCCAGGCCATCCCAGTGGGGCGGCGACCTCCTCTTGGGAGTGGACGCCAGGCCCTCTGGTCCATCTCAGCTCCTCCCAGGAGGGAGGGTGGGGAGGTGGGAGGCACGCGGTACAGATGCACAGGGGCATAGGCAGCCAGTGTGTGACTGCAGGCCACCTCCCTGGGGATGAGGGTGGGTGTCCCGGGACAGTGGCCTTGGCCCTCTGTGATGGCTCTAGGGTCCCTGGAGAGGCAGGCCCCCCACCTATCCGACTTTCAGAGCCAGCCAAGCACTTGTCCATGAGCACCTGTGAGGCCAATACGGGGGGCAAGACCAAGGAGGAGGTGGGGAGCTGGGTGGGCTTCGGGCAAGACTGAGCTCGGGGCTGGGGTCCCCAGAGCCCAGGGCCCACCACCCTGCAGTCTCACCTTGTCCCCACCTGGGCGGTGGACTGGAGGCTTTTGGGGAGTGGGGGGGTCTCAGGAAGGCTCCCTTGTGAGCGACAGGCCGCCTGGGGAGGCGGTGGGAGGTGTAGGAGGGGCTGCAGGGAGGGGCCTGCGGGAGCTCTCCTGCTCAGCCCTGCGGGAGGCCGGGCCGGCCCCTGGGCCCCTGTCCATAGTGGGTGGCCCCTGTGCTGGGTGCTGGGGACGAGGTGAGGGATGGGGGCCTGGGGGATGGGGTGAGGGATCCCGGAGAGGTTGTGTCCCATTGGGCCCTGGAGAAGATGGTGGCAGTGTCATTGCGGGAGAGCAGCCCTGCAGAAGGGGGGCTGAGGGGAGCAGGCTCTGGGGCTGCTGCCGCGAGCGGCCACTGTGGGCAATGAGGCAAGGTCACAGGGTCAGGCTGCAGAAGTGGCTAGAGGGCCAGGGGGCCATATCCTGAGATTGTTACTGAGGGGGCCACTTAATGACCCTTAGCTGTGATGGGGACACCTCGACAAGGCTCCCAAAATGACAGCCCAGCCAGGAATTATTCGATTATCTGAGTGGGGGCAGCTCATTAC